ATTTTCAGAAGAAAGGTTAAGGAAAATTTTAAAACAAGAATTATGTAAAGATTTGAAGGTTAAATTCCATAGTAAATGTGAGTTTAGTGGGAGAACTCAAAACACAACATAAAAGAGTTTATGAATCTTGTACAAAAAGAGCAAGCCTCCAGTGCAAAAATGTTATCCTTGCAGTATCTGAATTGTCCTTGCAGACTGCTTTATTCTATTTCAGACACTGCATATTCAACCAATGGGATTTCAAACACTAAACTGTCCTACCTTTTTCTCTCCAGTGGCTGCCATTAAACCCAGGGAAAAAAAAATAATTTAAAAAGTGTTTTTCCAAATGCTGTCAATTAGAAAAAACTTTTCCAGTACAACTGAGGGTTGCAAATTGTATCAAATTTAATTGAATAGCTGTGTTGAAAGCAAGTTTGAATTCTTTAAAATGAAATAACAGAATAGATTATCATGTTAATGAAATATCAGAGAAAATATGACTAACAGGAGGGAGAAAGGAGGAACAGAACGAGACCAAAGTAGGTTTTATTTCTATATGACAGGTAATCCATGTCAAAATATTATTTTACTTATTTTTGTTTTGTTGCCTTTTTTTTTTTTGGTGGTAACAGCCAAGAAAATATTTTTAATTGCAATATGAAACTTATGCATTCTGCTACAATGCAACACTCAAATCAAATTTGCATAGGTATATTAACCTACCAGATTCTTACTGGATTCTTACTGGTTTCCAACTCAGATTCCTACTGGGTTTTTATCTAGTTGTGCATGTGGAAGAAAAGAAAGGCATGTCTACTTGTCTCGTTCTCTTCCTAAACAAGCTTTTTATCCATGTGGTGTCCCAAAATGAGTGGGGATAACTGAAATACAGATCCTGATCCAATGAATGTGTGCAAAGACATATCGAGCCCAGCCCAGACCTTTTGCTTCATTTTGCTCTCCCTTTGTCTCTCACACTTTGCAGCTCCAGTTTCTAATGATGTTGCTAATAAGCCCATCTTCACAATACTCAGCAAGTCTGACAGGCTGCCCGTAATCTACCAGTGAACAAAGTGAACTATAAGAAAAAATCATAAATTTTAATATTCATTATAACATCTGAATAGAACCTCAGAACATAAAGCAAGTTATATACCAGGCAATAGCAATCCAAAAGCTCTGATATCCCCAGGAAACAAAACAAAACAAAAAAAAAAAAGGCCCATTAAGTTTTCAAGACTGACCTTCATGCTTAAAATATTTGTTATTAAATTAGGTACTAAGAGATTAAAACAACAACAACAAAAAAGTTTCATGACCTGATAGTTACTAGATTACTAGATTAATATTCACTGATTTATCAATGTACAAACAGAACATGTGGATGTTTGTCATATACAATACATTGGCTTGTATATATAGTAATTCTCAAGCATTATTTTAATTCTATTTTAATTTTAACCAACCATACCAAACACTTTCCTTCCAGATAAAGCTGTAGAAAAACATGTAAACCTTAAAATAAACTTCAACTCCAAAGTGTATTTTTTGGTTTGTATATACCACCATAAAGTTGCAGTGAGACGAGCGAACAGAATAAAAAAAGAGTTAAACATGAAAAAAGAGAAAGACAAACTATGCAATAATATGAAGTCCATATTATCAAACAGAACAGTAGAACTGCAAACAAAGTTAGACAAAATAACTATGATTTCAAATTTATTTCCAAATGAGTTCATGACAAACTTCATCTACTATAGTGCAAAGGCCAAGTCTACAGTTGTCACATTTAACTCAATACTCATATTGGCAGTAGAAGCCAACTGGGGAATTGGTAAGATCCCAAGAAAGCCCTCAGTCTTCCACTGAAGTCTGTACAAGGAAAGATGCAGGAGTGCATGACAACAGTGAATAAATCAACTACTGCAACCAAAAATGACAATTTATTTAATGAACATATAATAGTCCTAACTATAAAAGAATATATTTAGCATATTGAAATTACCCATCTAATGTCAAAACAGGGCATGCATCCAAAAGCTCTCTTGAGTTTTACCTTGTAAAGTAGACTGGAGAGATCTTATTAAATTACATATAAAATTATTGGTGCATATTTTGGTGCTCAAAGTCACAGTTTTGTGACTTGCTCCATTAAAACAACAAAAATATCCTGTTGGGATGTAGGTAGCAATCTACAACTGTTCCTGTGAGAACAACAACCATTTTAGTTCATTAGATTTGCATCTCTTTGAATTAGTGGCTCTCAAAGGTATTCGTCTTCAAACTAATGGTTGTTGACTACACTTGTATTAGAAGGCAATGATATAATTGCTTGAAATAACTTTAGAGGTACTTCACTGACAAAATGAACTTGAATAATACCTTATCAACAGCAATCTGCTACTCCAGAAATGTCCTTAAATATAAAGGCCACAGAATTCCATGACAAAAAAAAAAAATAATAATCATTTGCATAGTACGTGAGTATTGCAATATCTTTCCCAGTCGTTCTATGTACATAAGTGTGTTCACAACATTTCTAAAGAATTGTATGCCAGACTGGTCTTTCTCACAGACAATAATGGGAAAGATTTGGAACAGCTTTTTGCCAGTTCAGGCCTAGGCAAACTGAAGCCAAAACACATATCAAAGGTGACTGCAATGAAGAAAAATCACATGCAAAAGCCCTCTACTGGATGTTTTACAATGATAATTTTCTCCCAGGAATTCTACTTCTACAGGCTATATCATTTGTCCTTAGAATGAAAAAAAAAAAAAAAAAATCTAAAAAAACGTGGTTGGTTATGTTACAAGTAAAAAGATGAGCCTACCCTAAAAATTACAAATATTTTCATGAAAGAATAAAATCATTGAAAAGTTACTAAATTAACTACATCACCTTTTAGCGTTGTACCAGCTACATGCAAATACTTGTGCAAGCAAGCAGTGCTTCTATGTTTCAGACCCCCTCTGATAACAAAATAACTGGATGTCTGCTGTCACCTGCACCTTACCACAAATCGTCTTAAAAAACTGTGTCAGTAAACACCACCAGCACAAAATAAGGCTGGACACTGTGAGAATCCTTTAAAAAAACATCATCTGAGATATTTAGCAAAATCACAATCACATAAAATCTTTTCACTCAGGTGCTGAGAAGCAATGAAAGGAATTTGCATTTTTAGAAGGTTAATTCCATCTTCTACATGTCTTTGAATGTTTCAGTTATGTAACACACTTGTTTTATTTTGCATTGCAGAACACACAAGATCAAATCTTACCTTAAGCATATTTTCCCTAGTTCTGCTAATGTTCAGCTCTGCTAACATTTTGACTAAGTTTATATTTCTTTTTATAAAGAAGGCAAAGCTGCTTACTTAAGCAAAATGTATTATCTTTCTCAGAAAGAAAACATAATATATACTTCATAGTCATGTTACCTTAAGTAATTTAAAACTTAAAGATTCATTACATTTTGTGTTATAAAATAATACTAATTTGTATCATTCACACACTGATTTTAAGAGACTAATATAATAAAGGTAACCCTTAAAATCACAATACCCTTTCATCCATTTTATGTGGATTCTACAAACTTGGGAGTGACTCAGAGAGGTGTTCATATAATTTCAACCTTACTTTAAAAGCTGGACAACTTTTCTTGTATGACTTGTTCCTTGTTAGTCAGGCACAAACCATTGAAAAAACTTTCAGAAAAAATATCATGGCAGCCTTGATAAGCAAATAGAAAAGAAAAAAAAGAAAAAGGAAAGAGAAAAAAATAAAAAGAAAAAGAAAATTACAACAGTACGGGTCAAGACATCTACATTTTCCTTATGATTAAACAAATTCTCAGCACCCCTTCATCAAGAACAATATGATTTCATTGCAGAGGCACAATTCTTAGCAGTGCAGCAGAACTAATAGGAATCATTCCACTCTCTTCTTTTAGCGATGCTGCTATACCCAGTTTTTAATACTGACAAAACTGGTCAGCTCTGTTTTGTTTTCCTGCAATGGAACAGTCAATAATAAATTGGTCTTTTTCCAATCCCACTCACTGCAACGGAAGCTAGATTCACTTATCAGTGAACCAGTAATCTCACTTATTAAATATAAAGAAGAAATTGTCATGTTAAAAAATCAGGAGTTAGCATCAGTATTTACATAGATTACATTAAGAAAACAATACACTATAATGCTACTCAGTTTTAATCCCACTTGAAATACACCCTTCATAGAATAATTATTGGATAAAAAGCCTAAATTATTGTAGAAATACAGTTTCAGAAGGTAGGCAAAAATATTAGAGAAAACTTCACTATTTTCAGGTGAATTTCCAAGTCAGTGAATACATGCGTCTCATCTTCCATTACATTTATGAACTGTCATGTCCTAGAACGTGTAATTCCACTCCAACACAGAAAAGCTCCCAAATCATTGCTGCATCTATGTAGACACCATAGAAAGATTCTTGCACTATCAGTTGACTATTAGCTCACCTACCCTTTAAACTTTCCAGATTAAAGTGCCAGGATAGGTTAGAGCAACAGTGAACCCATTGCAATTTGTATCAAGAGTCACTTCAAAGAAATTCAGTGTCATGCTAAAAATTCAATACCCAAACTGAAAGAAAAGTTGAATGCTGGAATACCCCAGTGCTATCAAGTATATATTTTGAAGTGATTGACAATTTTACTCTCATGTTCAAAAACACTGAAACAGAAATGATAAACCAGATTTCAGGTGGTTTAAATTTGCTGATAACCACAAAATTATATTGGTTTAAATACACTTAATGCTTATCCTCAGACATGATTCCTTTGTCTTGAAAGAGTAAATCACCTGGTTCTAATTTTGCATATTTCATTACAGGTTGAGATTTGCAAATAAAATATAAATAGGTGATTCTGAAAACAGTTTAATATGAAAAGTGCTTCAATTACAGACAATATGAGAGCAACAAGATAACTTTATAAATGAGATAGGGGGGAGAAAAAAAAAAAAAAGGAACATACCTTTGAACATTGTTTATGATTCTGGCACCAAGCAAGTGACCCATTATTCTGAAAAACAAATATAAAATACATGAATATTATCATTTTATTTATTTATTTTTTAAGAATATATCTGATCATCCTAGTAGGTTCAAACAGAATTCACCTGACAGTTCTCTTAGAGAAGTATGTTGTGTCACAACATTAGTAACAATCCTGACTCCAATTCCCTTGTGTTAAAGCTCAGGCAAGTGTTAAGTGATCTAAGAGCTAGGAAAGCATTTCATCGAGTAAGACTGGTGGAGAACTGATTGAAGTCTCCTTTCAGTCTACCTTTCCTAACACTTCCTGTCTAGATTTACCAGGAAGAAAACAAAGGTAACCTCTGTATTTAAGAGATCAATACGCATGAGTAGTGATTCATGAACTGAAAGCCTATTAATTACATTTAAATATTACACAATATTTAAAATAAATTAACAAGGAAAGATAATGAACAGCCTTGAAGTGAATAAAAAAATGGATTAAATGGGACATAAGTTTACCAAAAGTCAACCATGTCAGCTTTGGTTTAAATTTTTGATAACACATTTCCCAGATCAGGAAACACTGTAGCTCTCCTTTATCTTGACTGTAGCAAGACAACCAATGTAGTACCACATGTAATTTATTTATTTATTTATTTATTTATTTATTAAGCTAAAGGAAATTGGAATATGATGAAAATAGACAAATATGAAACTATCATGAGTAACCTGCTGTTCCACTACAGCAGATTCTAAAGGGTCAAACATGGGAAAGAAAAAATTACAAAAGAGAAAATTACGGGAAACTATCTGTGTGCTTCTAAACACAAGACAAAATTATTATCTGGATATTCAACAACCATAATCCAGAGGCAGAAACAGATGCATTAGCATGCACTGTACTCAAGCCAACTAGACCAGTCTCTGAGCACAGCAGTTCTGCTCTCATCAAGGTATATGAGCTTGAATTCACTGGCGTGCTGCCACAGTGATGAAGCTTATAGTTTGGAGGCAGTTTTGCCTTAGCTAATGTTTGGGGAGATAGTGTTTGTGCATGTCTTTATATATGTTTATAGCTATGCCTTCACAAGCTCCCCGGATTGTTCAAGTCATTCCAAAAATCTTTCCAGCTGTTCCAGGAGCTTGGCCCCAGCACAAAAAAAGTAAAAGGAACTAGTATCTCTTTTTATGCAAGACTCTCCAAAAGGACCAGAAAGTACATCAAGTAAAAACTACATGAATTTTGATTTACACGGTCCTATCCAACAGTTTGTGGAAAATAAAGCCTTCATACAGCAAGGAACAGAAACCTGCTTTTAACTAAGCACAAGTGATTCTAATGACATTAATAGGATATCATTGCTGCTTGGGCTTTAAGCTAAGCACACTCTTCTGTTAAATGCTGGACTAACTGAATTAAATCACACAGACACACACACACACAAAAAAGAAGTCAGAGAGATCTCTTCTACCCTGAGACAGTGTCTGTCTCTACCTTGAGATCAGTGGAATAAACAAACTTGGTTAGATCAGTCATCTAACTGAGGACACCTTCCTTGTTCTTAAGGAAAGAAGCACCACCCAGTTAAGACAGTTCCCAAAAAGTACCGATGATGAATCATTTCCAAGGGCAATTCAGAATTACCTTCCAAATTTTTCTCTAAGCTTTGGTTAGCAGAAGAGAGAGAGAGAGAAAGAGAGAGAGAGAGGAAAAGGTAACTAGGCTACAAACTTGGGTGTTTCAGCCATACAAGATGAAGCAGTGTCTTCTGCATTTTGAACACTAAGTATATTCTGAATTTGGTGAGAAATCAGTAACACAGATGTGGATCAAGCACATTGCAAAATTCAGGAACAAAACAAAATTGCATATTACTCTTGCACCTTAAGAACCAAACTGATGCAAATTATACTTCTGTTTTCACTTCTACTTTCAAATTGAATTTTAGAAAACTTCTATATATAACATGTTTTTTCATATGAGCTGTAATGCTAAAAATTTCCATTCCTCTATTAACTAAGCAGCTCTGGGGATAATATACGTAAAGACATATCTACTCCTTTCCACTTCTAAACTCACTTAGGAGCGATTTTAAAATGTTGGTTTATACAATTCAATGTCAGTGTTTTATGAACATTTGTTTTATCTTCCCAGCAGGTTACTATGCAATCATTACTTGATTTTATAATAACACTTTTCTCTGACATTACTGTAGAATTTAGCTAAAATTGAGATTTGTTAGCATAAGAATAGCTAGCTACGAGCAACGTGTCAGGTCCAACCCCTTCAAATAGAGAGACATAAATAGAAGAAATAAAACTTTAGAACAGCCATAAATAACATACGCTAGTGGGAATACTTTAGTATTATCCTCAATGCCATATGAGGATTTATTATCTCCATTTACAGATCTAGCCAACAGTAATGTTAAAACAATATTTTATGTGCTACTTCCAATTTATCCCCCCTTTCTTCTTCATATAAAACGTGACAGAGGTAGTTGATTGCAATAACAGATTAGTAGCAGCTTGACGCTTTATTTCAGTTATGCTGCTGCCTTCCACTGAACTAGAAAAAGCACTCCTGCTTTTGAATTGTATCTGTTACTTGAGACAATAATGCAGTAAATGTCCAGGTGTGTGGCTCTCCTTCTTCATAATGTTTAATTTCTATGAATGTTTTCATTTTTCCACTGAAAACTATTATAACTTTAATTTAAAAGTAAGTTTAGCAAAACATAAAAGTACTGTTTAGCAATTTCAATTTCATACAAACTAACATGATACGAATTATCTTTCACTGTACAAGGTGAAGGCAAATTCTACAAGCTTGCTTTGAACAATGGGTTATCAGAGTAAGCTGGAATAGTAAATGAACATTTCTCTATTCTCCACCTTAGCAAATGGTTAACCTAAGTTAGAAAAAAAAAAAACATTCATGTGTGATTTTTTTTTCTGTTTTTAATCCAAGCTACATGGCAGAAACTGTAATTTCAAAACATCAGAAATCCTGTTTTATCTGAAGCATCCTCCTACATTACATCCTCAGTTACCTCACATCTGTTTTTCTTCGACCCAGTCCTGACCTGACTTACGCAAATAAGAGTTTTGACTTTGACTTTAGTCATGACTTAACACCACCATGCAGAAATGTCTTTGGGTAAGAGTTGAAACGCACTTTTTCCGTCTATAAGCCTTCCACCAATGTACTCTCAGGACCACCTTTGTACGGTAAAGAGGAGAAGAAGCTGTGGTCAACTGGGCAAACTGGGCTTGGAGAAGAGTGTCAGGGAAGGTACACAGCAGAAAAGGAGCTTGGAGTGCTGGTTGACAGCCAGCAGTGTGCTCAGGTAGCCAAGAAGGCCAATGGCATCCTGGTCTGTATCAGAAATAGCATGGCCAGCAGGACCAGGAAAGTGATTGTCCCTCCGTACTCAACACTTGTGAAGCCACATCTAGAGTTCTACATTAAGTTTTGGGCCCCTCACTACAAGAAGGATACTGAGGTACTGGAACATGCTCAGAGAAGAGCAACAAAGCTGGTGAAGGGACTAGAAAAGAAGACATACGAGGAGCAGCTGGGAGAACTTAAGTTGTTTAGCCTGGAGAAGAGGCGTCTGGGGTGGGACCTCATAGCTCTCTACAGCTACCTGAAAGGAGGTTGTAGCAAGGTGTCAGTCTTTGTTCTCAGGTGAAAACCTCTAGGATGCAAGGAAAGTTCTGCCAGGGAAGGTTTAAATTGGACATTAGTAAGCATTTCTTCATGAAGAGCATGATCAAGCTGCCTAAGGAAGTGAACAGAGACCTTTAGTTGCCATCCCTGAAAGCTTTTAAGAGATGTATGGACATGACGTTAAGGGACCTGGTTTAGTGATGGGAATCAGTAGGCCAGGTTGATGATTGGACTTGATGATCTTTAGGGTCTTTTCCTACCTAGTTGATTCCATGATTCTACTTGCAATGAAACTGATTAGTTGGTATCTCTAATCAGCTTTATTAGTTTCATTTCAAGCAAGCATATGTGCATGCTCCCTTTCCTCTACTAAACAACAAATGTCCTTGGACCCAAACAGTTAAAATAGAAACCTCTGTATTCTGTGTCCTCTCATGCCTTGAAAAAAGTAAAGTTGTGCAGAGTCTTGAAGATAAAATTACATGTAAAGAGACAATGAAGAATCAATCTTCATCTATCTACAGTCTGCCCCGGGGAAGAAATTTAATAAGCTTCACAAGCAACCCAAAGCTAGCCTTTCAAGGGAAAGAGAGAGAGAGAGAAAGAGAGGGAGAGGGAGAGAGAGGGGAGAGAGAGAGAGAGAGAGAGAGAGAGAGAGAATTTCCTTCATTTGCATCTTTGTCCACAATTATCTGTTAGGAGATATAACCTTTCTTTTGAAGTGCCAAAGATCAGTTGTGAAAAGTTAAGTAGCCATTTAATCTGCTATGACAATACCTGTATCCCTGCTACCAGTTTTGTAAGACTTAACTTCTCTGCCCAATCTTCAGTGCACTTTTGAGTGAAACTGCCATCACTCAGAAGTGACTTCTCATGATGATGTTCCTAATTCTTTCAAAATGACAAAAAAAAAAAAGCAGAAGAATAAGCCCCTCGAATGACAGTTTTCTACTGACGTGAAACAGAGCACTTCAACAGAGAAATCAATAGCTGTTGCAGTGATGAATTTAAAGAGACAGGCTCCCAACATTTTCCTCAACCTTTCTAAAACTCAATAGCATGAAGATACATGTTATGTTAAAACATCACTTATACTCTGCCTGACTTAAATTTCCTGCCTACATGCTCACTAAGACACAAATTAATATAGGGACTTATCTGTGGCAGTGCCGTGTGATCCTAGGTTCAACTCTAATGTGTGGAATGAGGGTGCAGAATGGAATTAACAAATTCAAATTAGGCTTTTCATTTTCAAAATGCCAAAGCATGCACCTAAGAATGAAATTCAAAAAAGCCTGTACACTTAGCGGGGAGAGATACTAAACCCAGCAGATAGGAAATGCCAAAGAAAATGTTTCTCAAAGCCTTTC